CTAGGATACGCCATGCACTGAGTTTGCATGAACAATCTTTGGATTTTTCCAAGCTCATCCAATAACTTTTAGGATCAAATGCCCTTTTTGAGTTATAGCTCCCAATCACCTGTATAAATCTGCTCCCAGAGGGATAAATATGGTCCCAGGCACTGGGCGGGATTCGATCTCATCACCATTCTTGTAGTGATCTGTGTCATTAGCATTTTTAATGCGGACCTCAACTGTGATTTAAACAAAATAAATTAAGTACTGAAACAAATAAATTAAGCATTGAAAACAAGTTGACACAAATTGCTAATGGCAATGTAGATACCAGTAAATAGAATTCTGCAGTGATAGCCAAATAAGAGGGTTAAAATTAGGTGACACCGGCGTGCGTTCAAAGTCCACAGATAAGCGATACGACGAGACACCCACCCAATGACCGATGACAAACACAGCTGATCTCTGGCTTCAGCCGAAATTTCGGGAAACAAGCCAAAGGACCAAAGCGTAGTAAAAGAAATTGATTGACTATTATAGAAAATAAAAAAATCGAAAAAATCGAAGTTCGTGGACGAAAAAAANAAAAAAAGCGAAAATTCGCGGATTTTTGGAAATTTTCCGGAGTGAAACAGGAATTTTCTGGAATTTCTCCGAAACGGCAATGACGTAGGCAAGGAATCTGAACCACCGGCACGTAAAATAACACCCGCATGGTTGTATGCAACTGCCTGCGATCATAGTTTTTGCCTATTTTCTCGAGTAAAACCCCTATAAATGTGATTTTTGATATATATTTTTCAAAATAGAAATAGTCGAACTAGGTAAAATCAATAAGAATCGAAAGATATATTTCCGTATCGCAGTTATAATGGCATGCTGCAATACACTGGCAAAATGGCGATCGATACGACGGGCTATGAGGAAAAAGCCGGTTTGCTCTCGCCGAACTCGACATTCTATAGTGGAACGGCATAAGCACCGCTGCAGCTAAACCAACAACACGACGGTTGTTTATTTGTTTACTTATATGCGATTGCCATATGCCTTTGCCAGAAGAAATTCGGAAATAACGAAAAAAACGAATAATAATGACACATCGAAATCAGAAAGTAAAAAGAGACACAACGAAAAAGTGGATTAATCGCGGGGACCCCGCACATTTAAAGCGACAGAAACATGAAGATAAACGGAATGTCTGAAAAGATCTGCTATAGAACTCATAAGCCTACAAAAGCGAAAATTCTGAACAGGAACCCCATCCAGACAGTAATTCGATTCGAGCTTTTTTGTTAGGAAAATGCAATAGTGGATTCTCGTCAATTGATTGCATTTATACTGGCATAGTACCGCACATATGGAAAAGTTTGGAGTTACTCTGTGAATCTCATGGGAAGGAACCATTCCTTGCAGGATGCTTCATAGGTACGGTATGCATGGCGGGATCTCTACGCAGAATAAGCAGTAAAGCCCAACCGATAAGTGCTACTTCATTCACACACAAAAAAACAACAACTGTACCTGACCATAAAGTTACATATAAACGAATCTAATGACACACCAATATTATATGTTATATCATTGCATCTGCGTAAACATAGCGGAACTAAACAATGCAAAGACTAATTTGATCTGAAAATTTGTTGAATTTCATGAAATGGATGAAACTTCGGGCACGTTTGAATTGAGCATCTTCGAGCGGAAATGGAACTGATCCCAGAAAAGAGTAGGTTTTACTACACAAGCGGACTAGCAGGGGGCTACTTAAGGTAAGCATGCTGTGATCAACAAGCTTTTACGTCATGGGAAAACCAAATGTCATTCTTATGCACTCATTTCCTTGAGTAACACATGGGTACGGTATAACCCAAACCCGATTTGGGTAAGTCCTCATGCAATGCTCCTTGCATACAGAACTTATTCAAATTCCCCTTAAAATTACCATCATCAGGAATCTTTCCGTATGAGACTAATGCCAATCTTGGGTGGTCTAGGTGGATATCTATTCAGGTTCGAACCCGTGACCATGCGTGTGTGATAGTGCGACATTTACCACTGCAAAATCTCCGCCCTATCGTAGCGATAGTAATCAAGTACTTTGTCCTCTACTATGAATCATTTTGAAGAACAGGAGGCAGTTATCCTTTGAGATAAGTGTTCACTCAGATACTCAATACTCAGAAAAATACGCATTTACTCACCATCAGTTGCCAACTCAATTTAACTTCCAAATTCAGCATCCATAACGTGTGTAAAGTACAATGTCAAATTTGTTAAAAGCAAGCAATAATTTATTTTGATCTCTTTCTATATTGTCACCGATGATTTGTATACTATGTGAAGCATATTACGATTGATTTTGATACTATACCTTATTAGCCTAAATACAACATTCACAACCACTTAGAGCTGATGAGGTGATGTGAGATATCTGACGAGATCATTCAGACGACTGCAATCGCTACTTGCTATGACAACATCGAAAGCTTTTAGCAGAGGCATCTGTAATACATAAAAATAATGTGACATGATGTGATCAAGGGTAATGAGCTATGATTGAATTTCTGTAATGAAATATGATAATTACACCGGTAAATCAATATTAACTAACATCTGTAAACTATCCACAATGTAGGTGTTAGTAATAAATGTTCAAAAAAGGTTGGTTTTTTCTATCACAGCCACTTTAATGCACAGCCTCAAACAGTTAGAGAGCTCTACTTTGTACTGTAAAAGTTCATTGACCGCTATGTTGAAGGTGAGGGTGTTATAAACATGCTAAACATCTTCTGAGACTTTCCAAATCGAAATCTGGGATCCTGTCAGGTTTCCCCTCCTAACCTACTTTCGTATTCATAACCCCACGAGAAGGGAACAATAAAAAACGCCAAGTTCTGAATCAGTTGCTGAGCAGCCCATTGTTGTAGCTAATCATGGGTTCAAACTATTTCACGGTCCTATGTGGATGTCGGTTACGCAGAATATTTCAAAACTAAACTTATTCATGCCCAATGCTTCATTCAATGAACTCTAATGCGCTTTTCCTGATTTAGTCGCAGCTTTGTCCAAATTTACCATTAAAAATCAAACACCAACCTCTTCCTCGGACAGTCCAACTTTTAGCACCTTCTTTTCCTGCCATCCATCCACCATAAAAGCATCTGATTCACTATCACCTATTACTATCACATTATTTCGTCTCGAATACATCCTATCTACCCCATGAATGAGATCACGTAAATGGGCCATAGTTTTGCTTAGCCCATGCACAGGCGGACACGTGAAACCGGTAACGTAACCGATCTGAAATGAACACTGCTGGGACGAAGCTCGTATAAGTCTCTTGATTCAATTGAAATCGCTCTATTTACCTCATCAAAATGCATTTTGTTTGCTGCAACTGTGATATTGTTCGGAAAATATCCTAATAACTGCCGGATAGCCTCCTCAATTATGTCAGTTATACCAGCAGAAAAGATTAACAGTGGTATAGATTGCTCTTCAAGTAAATGAAGAAATTGGCACATACTTTTCCTGAAAAACTCTTGATGATAGCTAAGAATTACATGGCAGAAAAATCAATTTGTAAATTTCATAAAACTAATTTGTAAAGTGATTTATTCGAAGTTGATACGGATAATGAAAATAATATAAATAAAATGTGTGTAATAAGTGGTATAAAAGAAATAATATAAATAAATTAATATAAAGTGACAAAAAGTAGCTAATGAGGTCGGGAAAGCATTGTGCTTCAACTTTTCATTCTACACGAAATCTTTCATTTGAAACTCTGATTATTGCGACACCTTGTATTGACGACAGAGAGACAAAAAAGCTAGTTCCCTCATTGAAATACATTTAATAGATTTTAATCATAAAACCTTGAACATACCTCCATATTAGCCTAGAATTGCGTACTAAACTGGGTATATCATCACGATGAACCAATGAACGAATAATAATGTCGTGAGAAGCGTTCCACCTGAATTTCTCCTTGCATAACTATTTCTCTCTAATTTCATAAATAAGATCTACTGTAACTAAACTAGCAGAATAATCAAAAAATAGACGATGATGGAGAGATCATAACGAATGACTTTATATAATACGTCCCGCCATGAGATGGCGATTTTTCCACGGATAAAGTAAACATACAAATAGGAACTTTGAATTTCTAACTACTTGCACTATAACTTGTTCTGGTAAGTGAGAAAGCTCGGAAAGCTTTAAAAAGATCCAAAAGTAGGAAGTAGCAAAGCACCAAAACTTGAAGAGAAACCTTTTGTTTGTTTTGAAAGCTTATGTGTTTGCTGTATAGATTTTTGTTTGTTTAAACTGTTTGAACTGCTTATGAATAAAAGGTTTATGAATCAAAAAGCATTGAGTCTAAGTAAACAAATAACTTACCACCCAGTTTGCACAAATGCACGCTCGTCATCTGTTGTACAATTCGACAGTACCGTTTCGTAATTGTCGTTCATTTTTTGCTGCTAAAACATACTAAATAGCTACNAATAAGCAAGCCCAAAAGTGGCAAGCACTATTATTCAACTCAGTTTTTACTCTTTGCAATCCGTAAAGGCAATGCCAACCTGAAGGGTTTGATCAATTAGGAGCCTTTACCCCATCTGTATCATCGTAGGAAGGCATAAAGATGGAATGTTACAGGAAACGTGGGCTTACCAGAATTCCAAGGGTGCATCCTGTGCCTTTGACTTCTTTGTTCACGTCGAACACCTCGTGTGTTAAACATCCTTGTTCGCCGTTATCTCCACGCCGCAACGTCAATGTAAAGTCGAAATCTGCTACTACCTGTAATTCTTGCTATGACTTTCAAAATGCAAACAAAAGCGAAAGTAGTTTTCTGCAATCCTACCATTAAGTTTTCCTTTCCTTCTAGTCGAAATTCGTTGAGAAGAAATGTTGTCTGCCCGTAATTAGAGCAGTGTAACCCGTATAAAACTTGCACCATATTTTGTATGGGTTGCGCCAAGGTGCAACACCGAAGACCCTGCTATAAAGAAAAGGTACATCGTCAGACACGATGATACTAAAGTCTTGATTGACGACAGTAATGCGTTTTCAGAAGTACATAAGGAGGAAGAACTAAAGAAAGCTGCTTTGGCACATCAGACGATCTCTCCGACGCATGAAAAGAGGAGATGATCAGGAGGTCCATCGCAGCCGCCCTATACCAAAAAGGTGACCGCGTTGGTCCTTCCCGATCCTGACTTTTAGCCAAATTTTAACTTAAAACGTTCATGCGCAGATGAAGCCGGCTAATATGTGGGAGAAAGCCTGGGCAGTACCGATGAAACAAAAAAGCCTGGCACGTCATGCAAATAACAGAAAACGTTCCACTTTACTTCATTAACCCTCCGGCCTACTGATACAGCTCTTAGTCTCAGCCAGCATCGCTTCATTTCTTGTAGACAGAGAGCAGCATACGTTGGGAAAACTGTATTTAGGTGATGGACCTCAAGAAAGGTAATTTAAGATATTTAGGTTGAAAAGTATTCAGGAAATAAAAACGCCACTAGAGACCTACAGCTAAAAAGCTCCTACGAAGCATATGATTTGAAGCAAGGGAACAATCTCGTGTTTTACGATTCCTTCAACGATCAATAAAACAAAAAGAATATGAGCCAAGAACCACAGATAACATCAAATGACAACTGTCAGTAGGACACTCTATTTGGGTCTTGGGCGGATCGATAATGGGGAAGTTTAAGATATAAACGATCCGCATATTCCATCCCAACTGTGCCACTCAAAACTTTCGTACCTAGATCATTTACTGCCCGACCATTCTATGGGGGAAAAGAACGCCGCGAATCCAGAACTACTTTTTAGATCGCCTTTCTCCAACCTTTTCGGAAGAAAAAACCCAGTGACAAGTGATGAAGGGCTGTAGAGAATGCAGAAAACCCGTTAGCTGCCTCCCCCAATTGTAACTGATGAAATTTTTTCATCTCAACTCTTTGCACATAGTAGCATACGTTACGAGGAACAGCGAGGATACTCCTCCTACATAAATAAAGCCAAAACAGAGGACGACATTGATTTATTGTTCATGAATAAACAGAGTAAGATCAACGCTGAGGAAAATGAACGACAATTTTTATATTGGAAGGACTGATGATAATGATAATGTTGGACACAAATTTCAAAAAGTTTCGGATCGAAACATCACATCTAGAAAGTTACAAAGGTAGAACTAAAAAAGGGCATTGATACCACAAACCTAGTAGTGAACCATAATGGTAAAGGAATATGCTTCCAGACAAAGCATTTAGAAAACGAGTTGCATAAAAAATTGGACTACTCCATTAAAATCAATATTCAGAATTATTCACCATCAACTGCAATTAGAAGCGCCTACGAGGACTGCGACTTCTTCTTCTTCCACCTCCACCACCAAAGCCGCCACCTCCAAAGTCGCGACCACCTCCGAAATCTCGGCCTCCTCCGAAGTCACGTCCTCCACGACCTCCACGCATCTCGCGATCCCTGAAGCAGCACAAATAGAAACAAAACTTGATACCGTAACCACAAGTATACATATGTTCCGCAATGGAAGAAACGTTCACGGTTTACAACCCTTTGTTCAAGATGCCGAACTTAAAACATACCTATCTCTTCCGCCGTGGTATCTTGGTGGACTCCTTTTGCGCCCTTTGTAAAGTTTTCGGCGGAGATCGCTGGAAATGGGTTTCAAGTGCATGAAATTACAGAACGCACCCTGAAAAAAGCACGGTTAACGACTACACAAATGAACGGAGCAATGAATCAGGTAAAGAAGAGGGGAGTGCACGCCACTGGAACCTTTTTCTGTCCCCAAACGCTAAGATATGTTTTGCGAGTGTATCTCAAACAAACTCCTTTGTCACATGAGAACGATAGCTAAACCTCAATTTTTTCAGTGAGTCTCAAAACTTTGTGCCGTAAATTCTGACCACTTTGATTTCTCTGCAACACCAGCGAGAGAAAAATCCGCCTCTTCTTTCACTCAAAAGCAAATATACAGCGATTACCAAAAGAAAAATTCACACAAGTCACAAAAGTCAACCTTCATCAAGAGCCACAATTCTACTAATCAAGAAACTATGACTGGGCGTCAATAATGAACTGTCCAAACTTCCAAAATCCCAAACTATCAAAGTTGCAACATACCTTGTTACAACCGCCGAGTTCATACTGACGGCAACAAGCTTCTCGAAAATCAGTCACAGGTGATAACTCAGCGTAGATTGCTTGCCCATTAAACCTAAAATTGACAAAATGACATAAAAATGGCCTAGTGGTAATTTAAAGGACCCAAGTCACAAACCATCTATTATCCAAAGCTTTTACACATTTTTCTGCATCCTCTTCTCTAGCGAATTTTACGTAAACATTACCGATCATGTGTTCTCCAATATTATCACAAACCTGAAGTATTCAAATTTAAAAAAAGCATTTATAAATTCGAATATAGTATTGAACAACACTTACTTCCATTTCCTCAATTTCGCCGTATTTGTCGTTCACTTCTGTGAAAATTTCTTCGAAAAACTCATCAAAATATTGCTGCTCATCTTTATTCATCATGCCGACCTGAATAGTGATGAACTGTCGACTCAATCAATTAACCTAATAGATCTGATGGATTGCTAGAATAAATCTCGATATATAAAAGTCTTCAAAGTTATTTTTAAAAACATATCAAAGTAAAAAATTACTATACTATGGAGGTCAAACGCTATACCTTCGTACAGGCGTCAGCCTGGCGCATATCAATGACTGGATTGTGGTATAAATTCTTCAAAAGAACTGTTTGTGAAAATGTTGGAATGATATGTGTCCGCGAACATTTGTCACCGTGTCTACAGGCTCCTATCTTGAAGAAGAATGAGCAATTAACCTGGAATTACATAAATCAGTATCAGAGCCGTTTATTGCTTTCACACATCAACTTCACTTGAATTACTTCGTGACAGATGAAGTTAAATCAAAACTTCTTAAAAAAATTTCATGATAAAGTATCGTTTAACAATTTTCCCAAAATGATACCTTATCTTTTTCTGTACCATAGATGGAGGCTAGGTACTCCGCCCCCGACATCCTTTCTGTCATGTTCGCCATTCTGAAAAAATGAGTAATAGATTGAGCAGTAATCAGAAAAAAGTTCACCGGTAATATAGATCTATACATTGCTAAGAAGAACGTGGATGATTGGTACTTTTCATCAACTAGTCGACAGCTGTTGGGGTTTTTATAACACCGAAAAGTGAGGTGGTGAAATAGATTGTCTTGGACACGGCGTCTAGAATCTCGAGCTCTGGGGATGTTCAAACGAAGAACTTCACCTTTAAGTCGAAGTATCTCTATATGGGAAAAGACAACTAATTCAGGAAGAATTTCGGAAGACTTTTGGTTGTCTCCACAAAATGAATGTACGGAGGGAGCTAGTTATAACAAGCAGTTCCAGGAAATATAATGTACAGAAAGCGATCGTGTCCAATAACAAATTAAATTACTAAAAACTGCCGACTATATAAAGAGACTTACTTAGACATATAAAAGGTGTCCTCAAGCTGGAGGACGTTTCAGCAGTATAATGGCTCACGATGTAATTTGCTTTTACTCCTCCGAACTTCAAAGCAAATATTAATAACAAGCAACAACTCAAGCCAATTAAGTACACAACGCTTAGCAAAATCGGCGTAAGGAACTCTGAAGAATATTCGTATGTTCAAAAAACCGAGCACCTACCTACTGAGCCTGCTGCTAGCTTTTCTTAGAATAACTTAGAGACTATAATTATCTACGGTACAATAATCGTGGCTTGCTGGTCAAATACTTCACTTTCGAGCAAGAAATCCCTGTACTCTAAACCGCTTATTCTTAAGCCTAGTAAAAACCATTTAAAGAAATAACGGATTGAAGTAAACGCCTTTTTCTAACTCGAACGTCGCTAAACATTATAGTCTTTCGAATGTACGTACGCCTGAAGGCACGAAATATCTTCAGAATCTTTGACAAGGATTCAGCAACCATTGAAAACACCAGAAATGCAAAAACATAAAACTTCAACGACAACGCTAGTTACTACTTTGAGTAAAACTGTACTTTGTAATCCTCAAGAAGGAAAATCAATAGAGCGAAGACATCAAATGGGAACCAGATACGAAAAAAACAGCGTAGAAATGAGGAATGAGAGGCAATCATGCATTATTTTATAGGTCCCCAACAATCACCGTATGATTGCGAATAGGGCGCGTATCGTCTTTGGAGCGCGGTGACTCACATTCCGATCAATGCTGGGCCTAATTGAAACGCTCGGGGCGTGCCCATAGTATGTTGCAATGTCCGCCGCAGGGGGGCTTTTCATGGGCCTTTACGGTGATACAGTGGAGTCCTCAACGATCCAACTATGTCCAAGAAAGCTTTGGAAGCAGGATAGGGTGTGGTTCATTGAGTTTTTCCAAAAATTCAATCAGCGTTTTTTATGTTGTTGAATGAAAAAAGGCAACTTGCAGCGGACTCTTCGCCAGCACACTGCGATGGTATAGCGAAGAGGTCCTCCCACACGATGTTCGGCCCGTTATGCGTGGTTCGCGAGCAATTAACTTCCTTTCAGTGAGCTAAACAAGTAACTCAATGAATGCCGCGCCGCGTGCGGTGGCCGCGCGATTTTTTCGCTTCGCTTTCGATGGCATGCATCAAACTCTAGGTTCTAGCCAGTGGGTAGGTACTGCGCAAAGGTGGTGAGAATCGGCCCGTGCTGACCAGCAAGGTAGGCAGCAGTGGTGCACTGTGGTGTGACGTTCTATCGCACATATGGCTCGAGGATCGATTCCGGATTCCAGCCTGAGCCGAAAAGGTTTGCCGTCTCTCGGTAAATTATACAAGTCTCGTCTCAGAGGTTGAAATCACTTATTTGAACACCGGCTAGTTACCGTAAGTCGGGTAACGTCTTATAAATTTTTCGGAATAGACGGAAGTAAGGGGTGTGGTGCGTTAGGAACGAAATAGTCACGTCGCGGTTAGAGGGGCGTCGCGCGCGAAGGAATGTAGCAGGATGCAGCAGTAGGTAAGAAATACAAGAACAAAAGTACTAATAGTAGAATTATGCATAAAATAATGATCGCATATCGATTGAGCTGTATGAAGAACGCTAGAGCTGTAATAACGGCAAATGAGTGGTCCGCGACAGCCGCGTGCGGCGAATCGATTACCCAAAATCGTTCCTAACGCCCTCTCCCTGGAAGTAAGCGCAGGAAAGATAGGAGAGGGCTATGCATGGATCTTTGCAAGAGGAAGAGTAATATTCTGAGACTATCCCTCTTCGAGATGCGCCACGTTATCCGAATTCCACTCAGAATCGTAGTGACATTTGAATGCGTTACTGGCCTATACAAGGACCTGCGGCAGCGGCCTAGGTACAAGTCAACAGCTTCTATGTATCTTATATCCAGCAAAGTCTGATACCGATTAACCGACCCTGAAGGTACGGGATTTTTGAGATTTACTGACCGATTTCTGATTTCCTTACACATGAAGGATTCTGAAGGCCATCAGTTCTAGGAAGAAGTGGCTTGCTCATCGATGACAGAACTAAACGTACAACTCGACTAAAAAATTAGATTCGCTGTCGTCTTCTCACATGGAGAAATCCCTACTTATGAAGTTAATTATCCGCACTCATAAAGTTCATTCCAGGTATACTGAGGACCATCATATCGAAAGAGACCCTGCCCATTGAATGTAAAGAAATATGGAACAGACTTTGGACTTTATTCAGTTTCAGCGTTAAAAATAAAAATTCAAGGACGATTTTCTTCAAATAGTCTTTTTTTGAGAAAAAATGGTGTCACAGATTAATCTTTTAGTTCGATATCCTTGAAATCCACCTTCGCTCGTAAGGACGCCCGAAGAGGTGTCGCGTCCGTTTTAACAAACTCTGAAACGACCTCAAACGTTTATTCAGGTTCAGGGGAAATGGAAGTGGTTGAAAGGGATCTGCAAGGGGGCTCTTAATGGCATGGACCACTTCTAATTTTTAAAAACCAGGGCCTTTCTCTTGAGTCGATGAGAAGCAGGTAGTTGTGAACAAGAAGACAAAATGGAAGGTCTTCAAGGAGTAAGGTAATTGCTGCCAAGCTCTGGAATAGATCCCACCCATATATCTGCCTCTTTCTGTTACCCTGGCAACCGNTTTTTTTTTTGAGAAAAAATGATGCCACAGATTAATCTTTTAGTTCGATATCCTTGAAATCCACCTTCGCTCGTAAGGATGCCCGAAGAGGCGTCGCGTCCGTTTTTACAAACTCTGAAACGACCTCAAACGTTTATTCAGGTTCAGGGGAAATGAAATTGGTTAAAAGGGGTCAGTAAGGGGGCCCTTAGATGACAGGGACCCCTTCTACGTTTTTAATCGAGAGCAGGGACCTTCTTAAATCCAGTAAGTTGTGAACAAGAAGACAAAATGGATCTGGGTTTTCAAGGAGTAAGGTAATTGCTGCCAAGCTCTGGAATAGATCCCACCCATATATCTGCCTCTTTCTGTTACCCTGGCAACCGTTCTGGTTTGGAACCTTATGTACCCTTATCAATGAATAATTCCGGGAGGTGCCCGGGAAGAAAATATTAAAATGTCGAAGAACTTTTCTACTTGTGGTCTCCCATAAAAACTCCCTTGGACCACAAAAAGAAGGAACGAAGGGGGACAAAAAACGACAAACAGAATCGCCCAATCACCAAGAGCCTCTATGACAATCGGATTAGTCTCAACCGGGTAATATGGGAAGGATAAAGTCTTAAGGCGTGCGGCGTTCGGGGTGCGCCCCCGCATTCGACTTCCGTTCACAGCTGGAGTGGCGCTTGAATGCCTATGTGGCAAATGAATGAATTGCGCAGGCCAGCCGATCAACAAACCATTGTTTTTATCCATTCAAACGAGTCTGGTACTACTTAGCTGACACCGTAGGAATGGAGAGCTCAGAGCGCCCCGCCCCCGCACCCCTTCTGCCCTCCGCAACTTGCAAATTTTTCAAAATCCGTGAAATACTCACCAGAAGAAGGTACCGGAGCTGCAAAAAAGATTCGTTAAAAAGTGTATTCACTCTCTGATAAAAATAGTTTTCACTGATCAATATTTGATAGAAAATACAAATTAGTAGGCTGCAGTCGCAGTACTGAAGGGATCTCAACGTCCCGTGAAAGTGTGATACAGTAACCTTCCTAGTGGCACTACCGTACTGGAATTTGCTGAGTAAGCAAAACAGATAACATCAATAGACTTAATATTTAATAAAAGGCACAGTTCACGTTAAAAAGATTTTCTGAGATTTTTCCCGAGGATGAACCTGTATCCCCCAAAGATATCCTAAGGGACGCTGTCGGGTCGGAAAACAAAAGGTCAAAAGAGGGCGTGATAAGGGCCTCTATAACCCGCTTACCCGACTACACACCCAAGGTGGACGAGTTATTGAGTGTTGTTGAGTTGTAGAGTTTGCACCATCCACACCGGGACCCACGCCTCGCACGCAGGCAGCGTATTGCAGTCGCTGTATGCAATGGCGCGTGCGTTTGAACAACTCGTCCGATTGCCCTTTCCATGCAGCCTTTTTCGTAAAGCTCTATCACAAGTTCTAATTTTACCTCTTTACTTGAAGTCTTACATCTTCCTAACAATAAGTACTCCCACTTTCGCGTTTTCCGCCCATTTTACACTACCCTGGACTAACACTCCCATTACTTGGCAAAAACTAGATAACTCAAAATTACTGTGAACTATGCCTTCAAAGGCACAGTTCACGATAAAAATGATTTCTGAGATCCCCCCACAGGATGAATTTGAGGCCTCGCGTATACCATAT